TTCAATAATTTTTTAAAGAGAAATTAACACTTTTATTCAGCAAGGACCCATTAAATCAAAACAGAGGGACAGTAAAGACATTTATAATGTTATAAAATATTTTTATTTAATATTTTATTTTCTGTTAATCAAAGAATCCTGAAAAAACATAAACTTTTCCACAAAAATTACACAGTGCAACTGTTTTTAACATTGATAATAATAAGCAGTGTTAATATTTTAACCAAATCAGCATGTTAGAATAATTTCTGAAGCATCATGTGACATTGAATACTGGAGTAATGGCTGCTGAAAATTCAGCTTTACCATCACAGGAATACAATACACTTTAAAATGTGTTAAAATAGCAAACAGTTATATTACATTTTAATAATATTTCATATTGTTTCTGATATTTTCTCTTTCTCAGCTGTTTTGCAGCACAATAACACATGTAAAATGCCTCTTTAAAGTGACTCAGTCTCTAGAGTTTCCAGAAAGCATGATAGGTGCTTGAATGGGCTGGTTGGAGGTCTCTCTCTCTCTCTCTCTCTATCTCTCTATCTCTCTCTAGCTGTTGCTTTCTCTTTGCTGTAATGCTTAGGCTGTTAATCAAATCAATGCCTGGTCTCTGCACAGCCATCACATGTGCAAGTAATAGTTCAGTACTGAAATTACCTTTATGACCCTACACTTGACACTCCCTGATGAGGACCTTTAGACCCAACTGCAATGAAGTACTTTACGTGATCACACTTCATTAACACTAATGGCATAGGCCTGATGTTTTTTATGAGCTAAAAACGATTGTGTTTTGAAATAGCCTTGTAGTCATAGATGTTGAAGAAAACATTATTTAAGGGATATTTCTCTTGTATTCCAGCGGGATTGGAATATAATAACAGTCATTGTGAACCATGGTTCATTTTGCAATCTGTCAATAATGTGTGAGTATCGACTGACTTTCCTCACAGAGGTCAATTCCCGCTGGGCTCCGGTGGCCTTTTAACGCGACGTTGGAGTATGATAGAATTTAGGAGCTTACCGATTAGATGTGACCTCTCGTACAAAAACTCTTTAAGACCTGCAAACTTGCTTCATGCTTCCTTTCGGGACATTCTGGATATAGAGAAGCAAAAATGCAGCAAATGGAAACATGCATCCCTCACTGAACCACTCAACAGCAGACACGTGGCACCATTCTGAGCTGCAACACTATGCGTGTGTGTGTGTTTGGGGGGGTGGTTATTAGAGGTTTTGACTGAAAATCCAGACAGATTGCTTGAATGTAATTGAAGGCTGAAAATAAAAGCTCTCCAGAGTAATTTCACAGTTTTTCCCCTCCTCTCAAGATGAGCTCGGATGAACCCCAACCCCAGCACTCTACCATTATCTGCAATTACCATAAAATCATCTGTGTTCAAATACAGCACTGTCATCCTCCATCTCCCAAAAATATATGATGTTTTATGGGGTTTCATTCAGAAAGGCAGGAGTCATCCGGTTCACAAAGCACACACAGGAAGCACTGAGGGTTTGGAGAGTTCACCGAGATGGTGTTAGGAAGTCTGACTCTCTGGTCTGACCACTAAGAGAGCAACGTCGTGAAACAGCAGGAATTGTAATGCAGTAGAGCAGCATGCATAATGCAATAATTAAGCTGAATGCATATTTTATTTTATTTTATTTTTATTTTTTTATTTTATTTTATTTTATTTTTTTTTATAAATTTTTTTATTTTTCAGATTTTTGAATGATTTTAGACCAGTCACATGGTTCTTATGTGAGCCCAGAATCACAATTTCTGTTCCTTTCCCTTTAGCAATCTCCCTTAATAAGCACATATGTGTAGTCTCTTTGTTTTGTGGTGTTTTCTAAGGCAAGCATCACTATTATTATTATTATTATTATTATTATTCACTATTCTGCACTATGCACATAAATGATACCTCAAATCATGTGGTTTTTTGAAGATAAATATATGTTATTACTTTTCTAAGCGATCAGACATATTATTTTCACCTGGCAGAGGATACATCTCATAGACTTGCATTAAAGATGGGAGTCGAATCATATCTGCAGACTTATCTTGGGTCAACTGTTAATGAAAATAGAAAAAAGTTGGCACACCTTGGATCAACCATTCCAATCACCCTATAGCTTCTTGGTGGTGTCTAGTTACATGGGACTCTAAAACGACTAAGGAGAAATTACAATTTTAAAGAGAAATAGGTTTCTAGAATATACTGTTCTTTCTGTCATTTCCAACATATTTTTGCCCATGTAGCTGTTTTGTAAATTACTTGCAGAGTAATTTTACATATCCCAGATTAAGCTCCAGCCATATCCCACTGAGCTGTGGTGTTGTGTGAGGTAGCGATGTGTCCTATGGAGTCCTGGCTCTGTTCAAGCGTACCCCCGCTCCTGTCGATAAGAGGTGAGGCACATAAAAAAACCCTCATCCACCCCAGCAGCGGAGAGAGAATTAGCATACGTTAGTTGCCTGTAGGGCCGAGATTATTGTTCTGTCTTAAATTCAATTTCTTCTGCCTCAGGACAAGCTTCTGTACTAGGATTAACTCTCTCTGTGCATCCGTCACTCAGTGTCCTCAAAGGTACACTGTCTTCTCCCTGGCTTTGTGGCTAGCGTGTGACATGTTATCAGTCTGTACTGCATATAACCTTGTTAGCATTACAAAGTAGTATGGAAGAAAGAGGGAGAAAACAAAAAAAGAAATATTTTTGTAACATTACACACGTCTTTACTGTTACTTTATTTAATTGTTGCTGAAGAAAATTAATAATTTCTTTTAAAAGAAAAAAAAACTGACTCCCAAAATTTGAATGTGTATTATTTATTTATTTTTCATTACTAATAAAAAGCAAGCCCAGAGTCAGCCCAGCTGGACTGTTTTAGTTGAGCTTGCCTTTCTCCAGACTGAGACCTAATATATATGAATCCCTCAGCAGTTTCAGTATTACTGCATTAAACGGGATGATAAAATGAGCAGTGACTCACCGTATTGAAAACTCGAAGACTTCGAGGTATTAACTGAACTGAAGTTTATGGAGAGAAATGTTCTCTGGTGGGTTCATCAGAGACTTATAACGAAATAAAAGGATCCCTTCGGCTAAGTTAGGGTGAAAAGAGTTTTATTGCCTATATCCGAGGCGAATACCACTTAGATCTAAGAAAGTTTTTTCACACCGGTTAATCACTGACAGTTGTGAGCTGTGATTATGACCAGTGCTTTATAACAACTCTGAATAATCAGGATTCTGAAGTAAAATACACCTCCATATTTGACCTCCGGTTCTCATCTGCCAGTTTCTCCCTTTTCCCACCGGTTCTGCTTCACTGCTAACGTGCTAATTGCTTTGTCACAGTTATGTTTTGACAGGAAGCTACGGTGATGTAGCACACTAATTAATGGGTCTCAAAATACAGCCTGATTTAGACAAGAAATGCAAATGTGACACCAGATGAGCTGTGATTATGACCAGTGCTTTATAACAACTCTGAATAATCAGGATTCTGAAGTAAAATACACCTCCATATTTGACCTCCGGTTCTCATCTGCCAGTTTCTCCCTTTTCCCACCGGTTCTGCTTCACTGCTAACGTGCTAATTGCTTTGTCACAGTTATGTTTTGACAGGAAGCTATGGTGATGTAGCACACTAATTAATGGGTCTCAAAATACAGCCTGATTTAGACAAGAAATGCAAATGTGACACCGGTGAAAGAAATTGTTTGTGCAGAGCGTTGGGCCAGAATTTCGGCAACACTCCTGGGAGCTGCAGGTGCCCAATTGCTGCTTTACAAAACACCACTCTGAATCCTGAAAGTTGGTGTGTGTTTGTTGTGCCTCCGAGAGGCTAGTTATCTACCGCTTGCAGCCCGGTTCCTCTTGACCTCCCTCGGGCTGAGTGGCCCTGCGTAATTGAGTGCAACCTGAAAGGTTGTTCTGAAAGGTGGGTTATCTGCCCGCTCTAATCCCACAGGAGAACAGCACAGGGGAGGAAGGGGACAAGCCCCTGAGGGTTGAAGTCCCTGTCTGCCAGCCACAAGGCATTATGAGAAAAGTCACTTTGAGCCACAACTTTGAAAGTCTTAATGACTCGTGGTACCTAAAGATGGTGTAACTCATTATATTTGTTTGCATGTCTGCTGCACTGTACTATAAATTACCCAAAAGTCCCATGTGTAAAAGTAAAGATGCTCAAGGTTAACATAAGAAATAGGAAAAGGACTACTATAAGTTTTAAAGCAACTGATATTGCATGTATGTTTGAAGTATGAAAGAATAGCATAAGGAATTGGATCAAATGATTTGAGCATTTTTTTTGTGAACCAGTTCAAATGATTCCATAAAAAGATTGAAGAACAATTAGTATGAGAATCAGAATCATTACCTGCATCCCACTTATGTAATTAATGAAATATATAAATGAAGTACAAACCCATGGAACATTGCGATTTGACATAAAACCAGCAATTGTATAATATAAACCTCTTGATTTATAGTCATTGGTTGTAGGTTTGTAAGTTTACAAACGGTGCTTCAATTGTATTAATACAAATTGTATTCATTTGATCATTTTTATTGCAACATATACATAAACAAATTTATAGGATTTTTACTTTTTATATTTAAAAGGTAAAAATATATATATTTTTTAATTAAAATATATGTTATAATTTTTTTAATCGAACAAAATAATATATATATCATCTCTGTTCTGTTGGCCGGAGTCCAGTGAGCGTTTGGTTCCTGGTGTGGCTCCGACATGCCCTTCAGACTGTGTGCATCAGATTGCACTGTATCCTCATGCTGTTTGTAGGGAGACGCGTATGGCACATTAACTTCCAGACAAGCTCAAGGACAAGAAACTCACTCAATAGAGAATGCTGAGAGTTCACTTTTCTCTCTGTGTGTACACTTGCATTGACTGCTGATTTCCTGTCTGTTTAATGTACTGACCCTGTGCTCTCGCCTTTGTTCGTCTCATTCTCTTGCAGACGGAATCTCACCAAGCTCTCGCTGATCTTCAGTCACATGTTGGCTGAGATCAAAGCCATCTTTCCAGGTGGACAGCTCCAAGGAGACACATTCCGCATTACCAAGGCCGACGCCGCCGAATTTTGGAGAAGGTCTTTTGGCGAAAAGTAAGTTTGAACAGTTTTCTTCTCATTTCAAGATGCATCTGCCAAATCAGATCTTTTCTTTCCCCGTTTCATTACAGCTCCAATCAATTAAAGCTCTTTGTCATGGAGAAATGCCTTTTCTCTTCTCCATTTAGCAGCAAGTGCTGCTCTTGAGCCAGGCCTGTGATTTAGCATACATCTGCACACTAAACCAGACACGGTGATGGCTTTCCTTACTGCTCTAGTCAGCATTTGAGAGGTCACTGGTTAGTTGATTTTTTTTTTTTAAGTGAAAAAAGTGATATGTGGCCAAGTATGGTGTCCCATACTTGGAATTTGTGCTCTACATTTAATGTTTACACACACACACACCATGAACACACCTCAGCCGTGGTATTGAGGGTGGAAGAGAGCGCTATACATTTACTCCCCAACCTACAATTCCTGCCAGTACTGGGACTCGAACTCTGACTCTCTAACCATTAGGCCACGACTGCCCCACTTTTTTCAGGCTAATTAAGAGCATTAGGGGTCTTCTGCCTCTTAATGCTGGAATATGAGATTCCTTGTTTGCTGGAAAAGTGTTTCATTTTGCTGTACTGCCAGCTAGGGCTGGGCAATACCATTTATACTGATATACAGTAGTTTGATACGAGCACATCTGAATAATAGCAGAGGACATAGAGTGAGCTCCTGCGGGGAAAGTGCATAATCCATTTTGTCCTAAACATGAGACATGCTTTATATTAAGGGCTTTAAAATAACTGGTAAGATATAGTTTACACATATAGTTTAAAGCAGCTTGTTAGATACTCTGACAGACTCATGTGCTGCTGACAGATTTGCGGTGTTTAATGTGTTTGAGATGTGCTGCTTTCCTCTGAACTTACATTTCACAGGTATATTCTCCATATATATATAAAGTCATGTAAATATTTCCATGTTGCTGTCAGGAGCCTTCTGCATGCGATTCTCCAGTAAACTTCACAGACTTCAGTGAACGAGCACTGTCGCACGCATGTACACCAAACTGACGGTGCGCAATGGAATAGGAGCACAATAATTGTGTCATATGTAGAATTTAAACCTACAAGTAAGTGTATTTTATGATAGCAGATAGCAGTAATGGGGTAATAAAAATATAATGCAATTAATCTGTGCTCTTGTGTTTATTTACATTCATTTTTAGTTTAGTGAATTGAACTTCTGCTTTAAAAAGCATTGTTTTTAGATTGTAATATTACAATGTTAGAATGAAATGTGATTTTAGCCCCTTTTTTGCACATAATGGATAGCATAGCCTACTTTCACTATATTTGTTTTCATTGCCTTTAATATAAACATTGTTTCCTTGGACAATATTGGGCAGGATGTAAAATAAATAAATAAATAAATAAAATAACATATATATATATATACCTACATACATACAAATATATAGATACAAAAAATACTGAGATATGATTTTTTTTGGCCATTTTGCCCAGTCTTACTGCCAGCATGTAAATATAGATAGAGAAAGAGATAACGCTGTAAATGTTCATGCAAGTCAGTTTGGATCGTTCAGGGATCCGGGGACCTCAGGGTATTCTAAGTGGTCCATGAAAAATAGAATAATAATAAATAAAACCCACAATAAAATGTAAAATAAATGATGAAAAAGGAAAAATTTACAGAATTTGATATTATTACAGTTTTGGTCTGCATTATTCAGACTTCATTTTAATATGACAGAGCTTGTGTTTTAAAGCGAAACACACTGGAATGAATAATTCACTTAAAATGCAACACGACACTCTGTTCTCTCTGCAATCTCCGATGTAATCAGCCTGGTTTCCTTTATATTAGCGCTGTTTTGGACGGATTGTTTGAATGCATACGCTTACTGGATCATTGGACTGAAAACTTTCCCGGAGTTTAGCAGCTTAAAATGATCTGATCGCAAGCAGAGAAGCAAAATTGGATTAAAGGGTTAGAATAGAAATTGTGCTCCAGTAATTTTGCGTTAATTGCGTTAAATTATTTTAAGGATTGTAAAATTAATCGCATGCGTTAACGATGACAGCCCTAAATATAATATAATATAATGGCCGTTACACCTTGAGTGTGCATTATTTTCTAATATTTCAACAGACCTGAATCAGTTATTCCACTTATACTAAAGTTACCACACCTCAAGATATTGTTCAGAAGTTGTATTTCAAGACATTCATGAGAGAGACAGAGAGATGGAGAGAGTCAGTCATTGGTCAGTTTCATTGTGGGTTTTGGTTCTTTTGCTGTTGTAAGTACCTTTTGAAATAACGGAAATCATTTGGCAAAGTGATATGAACATGTAATGCGGTCAAGACCTGCCTGGAGCTACTTTAGCCATGTGTTTCTCTGAAAATAATTGCACATCTTAGAATGTTCGTAAATCAGTCAGATTCAAGCATTCAATAATATCTTGATGACACTTAACAAAAATAGTCATGATATTTTTAGTGCAGTGGCTGTGCATCTTGTGTGTTATGTGTTGCTGTGAACATTGTTGCTGTAAGAGACTTTAATTTTGATTCTATGAGTTTTTCTTAAAGAGTTATTATTTTACTGTGAGGTTATTTTAATTGCTTTCTCTGATAGTAGAATTTTTTTTTATAATAACGTGGAATTAAGCTGATTTCCATTCTAAGCACGGCGCTCAGGCCGTCTGAGTGCAGATCTCTCTAGATCTTTAATAGTGTTGTCCATTTGCAGATTGTCATGTTTAATTCATTTGCAATCTCTGTGGCTGCTGTGTATTTTATCTTCTGTTTGATCCAATAAATCGGAGAGTTAAAGGAAGTGTGAACGTGTGCATGGACACAGGCCGTGTTAGAGACGGAAAGGCCTCATAATGGGGCAGGTGTGATCAGCTATGCAAGAGAGGAAGAGCAAGAGAGATTGAGAGACGGGAAAAGACCGGCGCAGTCTCTAGTGTGTATCTAGTTACCGCTCTGATATATTATAGATTTATTATAAAGGTCTACTTCCCGCTCTGTACAGAGGAAGTGTGCATGAGTCATTGATACGAGAAGTAGAGCAGCCTTCCTTCAGCTGTTCTATCTCTGTTTCTCTCGCTCTGTGTGGAAATAGAAAGCTCAGCATCCTTAAGCAATCAATCCAGTGAGCACTAGAGCTCAAATCTGTAGCCTGCAGAGTTAGCTGCTCAGCGAACCCATATATGCATGTCTGTGCGTGTTTTGTGTATTGAGACACGATTAATGAACTTGTTTAACATGCTCAGTTCTAAAAGTCTGGTTGAAAAGTCGGGGTTTGAGAATTTTGAAAAGTTGTAACAAATGAGAAATATTTCAGATTCACTAATCAAATAAGTACATTTGTGACACTGATCGTTGGAACTTGGTCAGATGTTCTTGCCTCAGAGTTTTACACAAACTTGTGAAGTTCAATTAACTTGATGAAATGTAATCTTGAAAATTTTATTTGTAAATTAACGTTCAGTGGCAAATAATACTGGTCAAGAAAAATCTACTGTAAAAAAAAATTTCAAGTTCGAAGTTTAATTGCCCAAATGGGTTTGATTTGGTTGACTGTTTTTTCAAATATTAAAAAGCAGTGAAGTACAGTAGTTTTGGCTGCTGCAAAATCAGCGTTGCCATTATAGGAATAAATACAATTTTTAAATATAAAAAAATAGTAAACAATTGTTTTAAGTAGTTTCACAATATTAGTGTTTTTATTGTATTTTTGATCAAATAAATGCAGCCTTGGTGAGAATAAGAGACTACTTTCAAAAGCATTAAATCTTACTGAACCCAAACTTTTGAACAGTAATGTACATTTCTTACTAAGAAATAATAATCAAATATTATGACAACTTTTTCTTTTCAAGACCTTTATTATTTTAATGAGGCTTCTTTTTCTTCATTATGTTATCAGGACGGTTGCATCACCCTGCATTTTTGACTTAATTCATTTTTGAAATAACAGAGAAAAAAAATGGTCATCATAGAATTAGTTGTGAATTGCATATTCAATGTAGTTTTGAATAAATTATTAGATAAGACAAAAAATTATCATCATGTCATTTATGTCTTTTGAAGGAAGAAAATGCAAAAAAGATGATGCATTTTCACTAATGAACTCAGACTTTTGGACCCCACTATGTGTGTATATATACCTGATATTTAGACCATAAGCATTATTGTGTAAAAAATGTAATGTAATTCATCTAGCAGATTGCTCTGAGATTAGAAAGATAATATCAGACCTTATAAGTTCTCTCTCTCTCCTTCTGTCTTTGTGGTCTCTTGATAATGGAATATAATGATTTTACTCAAAGTAACCATAGAATGGAATAAATGTGAAGTCTCATCTTTTTTCAGATCAGTTTCAGCTCTCAGTCCTAGGGTCTAGCATAGACTATGATGTGTAGACTAACCCCACCCAGACACAGATGCAATAGGCGTGCAGTATTTGATATGCAGATGATATAATGAGGGAAAAATAAGATCTATGTTCCTCTGCAGTAGCAACAGGAAGTCTTGCTCACTGTTTCCTCATTATCAGTTCATATTATTGGCCCGTTGTTTCGCTGACTGACGGGTTGAGGAGAGATTGTTTTCAAGCTAATTTTCCTTATTAAACTCCCTTCTGTCCTCCGAGACTCAAATCCATTTCAATCTCTCATTTAAATGTCGTTAGTGGCCATGGGCCAATAGGAGCAATAAGGTTTCCTGTGGCAACACTGAAGGCCATTGGCTGAGCTGCCTGTTTTCTGTCTTAATCGGGCGGCAGCTGTTTAGTGAATTAAAATAATGCACTTGCTGATTTTCTTCTGATAGCACAGGGGATTATCACACAACCAAATCGCCCCACTGCAAGCACTCAGATTCAGAATTTTACCCAGTTTGTTTCTCTTAACGGACAACATGACTTTGTGGAGGCTTTTTGGAGCCTGTTTGAATAGATGTGAAAATAGTTCTGCTGCCTCGTGACCTGCCTCGCTCTGACTCCACTTCTTTGTTCTGTTATTTATTAGTATGATGGTATTATGTGTATGTCTGTACCTGTCCTGCTACAGTAATTGGCAAGGACAGGGTCCTTAATGAGCTTCCTTTTGTGTAGTCCATTGAGAGAATGCCCTCGGCCCATTTAAAAAGTCTTCCTTAATTAAGGGGTCAGCTATTATAATAAATGTAATTAAACTAGATCTTGTCTTTTTTCATCTGTCCATCACAGAACTAAGCTCAGCTCTCCCGTCCAGCTACAAGTAGACAGTGTAATGAGGAAAAGAAGGATCACTTGTAGAAAAATTACTTGTAAACCTCAATATTGCCGACTTGGATGCGTATGGTATTTATGAGCCATTTATTTCTTTACCTTTCAGTAAACTCATCAGATTAATTCTTTGCTCTCTTTACTGCATCGTTTGGAAGTTTATCAGAGGCTAGAACGAGTTTCCTTATTCCTGGTGATGCATCACCACTTTTGCGCTATTTTGCTGTGGTTGCTGATTAATACAAATGCAAAACACAAATTTGCTCTGGAAAAAGTGGTCAATTCCATGCTGAACTGCAGTGTAATCATGCTGAAGATGCATAATTTGCAGAACTCATGACATGATGGAAATGGGTTTGAATGCTGAGATGATAAAGCTTAGAGAAATCAACCTACAAATAACTTATAATTGCCTCTACATGATAAACCTAGTAAATTTTAACATGGAAAACACTGAACAGCACCTTTAAAGTGTTGGTCAGATTTTATTAAGATTTCTGTCTCTTATGCCCACCATGGTTGCATTATATTTGTTAAAAAATACAGTAAAAGCAGTTTTGAAATATTATCGTTTTCTATTTTATTTTCAAATGTAATTTACTCATGTGATGCAAAGCTGAATTTTCCGCAACCATTACTTCAGTGTCACATGATCCTTCAGAAATCATAATAATATGCTGATTTGGCACTGAAGAAACATTTCTTATTATTAATGTTTTATATCTTAATATTTTTGAAGAAACTGTGATACATTTTTAGCATTCTTTAATAAAGAAAATTAAAAATAAATATTTTAATGGAAATGGGTTTGAATGCTGAGATGATAAAGCTTAGAGAAATCAACCTACAAATAACTTATAATTGCCTCTACATGATAAACCTAGTAAATTTTAACAGCACCTTTAAAGTGTTGGTCAGATTTTATTAAGATTTCTGTCTCTTATGCCCACCATGGTTGCATTATATTTGTTAAAAAATACAGTAAAAGCAGTTTTGAAATATTATCGTTTTCTATTTTATTTTCAAATGTAATTTACTCATGTGATGCAAAGCTGAATTTTCCGCAACCATTACTTCAGTGTCACATGATCCTTCAGAAATCATAATAATATGCTGATTTGGCACTGAAGAAACATTTCTTATTATTAATGTTTTATATCTTAATATTTTTGAAGAAACTGTGATACATTTTTAGCATTCTTTAATAAAGAAAATTAAAAATAAATATTTTTATGCATCCTTTCTGAATAAAAGTATTAATTTCTTTTAAAAAATTTGATTTTATTGAAAGAATGATTAATAAATAAGAAATATAATATCTACTAATATTTGCTTCTAAAAAACGTGTTGGCATTCGAAATAAACCTCTATATGAGAATGGCCTGGGACAACTATTAAATGTATAGTTAAGTGGTCATTATACAAAAATAAATTCACAATCAGAATCAAGTAGTCCAGTGAATCATATAGGAAGGGAATTTAATATTATTACCTTTTATTCAAGTGCAATAGAAGTAAAAAGGAAGTCATCATTTAGATAACTGGTTAAACGTGTGTGCGTGTAAGAAAGGTTTCACTACGTGTTGAAAATTAACCAGCAGGCCACTGCCCTTTCTAATAGGAATCAGCAAAGCTGATGTTTCCTCATTAACCAGCTGCTCTTCCATGCCATTGTTTCTGACATCCAGATAATTCACTTCTTTTCTTTATTATCCTGATGAACAGGCTCTGATCCTCATCCATTATCGCTGTCATTACTTTTGTGTTTTAATCCAGAACCGTTTTTACTTCCTGAAAGACTCGGGCTACTTGCGAAACCAGAATGTTTCTGGTTTTGGTCCAAAGCTTTCTAAAAAACAACAGCCAACAGAAGTCACAGGAATGATGGGTAATGCTCTCTCAGGGTGGCTGACACTGTCAGATTGTCAGAATGAAGAACAGTAGCCTAGATCCTCTGTTATTAGTGTGACAAGTCTCTTTTGTTGTCTCACCTGAAGGAACGATGTGACTGCTCGACGTGCCATTACCCTGAAGTGAAGATTTCTGTGTTAACCAAGAAAAGAGAACAGGTTTTTAAGAAGCTCTGATATTGTCTTTTTCTCCTTCCAAGTGTGTGTTTGTGTCAGAAAGGGTTTATTGGTCAATTTGTGACGGTCAGTGTTTTTGAAAGTGTTCTTTAGAGTCGAAGCAGAGCGTCAGTGGCACTTTTCTCCACATGCTCTTCTATTTACCTCAACCTCCATTTTGTGGCTGTCACAGACCACCAGAGGAATATGTACAACATTTTTACAGTATGTGAATAAGAGTTACCAGACATAAGCACGAATACAGTAAGAACTAGTGTTCTTAGTCATTCTGGCAAGCGTGTTGTTCTTAATGTGTGGGACCAAGCAACACACTACCAATCTCTCAGAACATTCTAGTAATTGCATAGCAACATGTTTACAACAACTCAGCACACCAACCACATAGCAACATGCTAACAACCACTCAGAACACCATAGAAACCACACAGCCCAATGCTTGCGACTATTCAGAATAGTGGTCGACCGATATATCGCCTCGGCCGATATCTGCCATTTATCAAATATCGGCATCGGCCGTTAAGTTTTTCTGTTTGGCCGATGTGTTTGAGGTGGGACTTTTATTTTGACGGCGCTGAGAACAGCTGCGGCAGCGCCTGAGCACACAATGCTCACATTCTCCCTCTTGTTCACTGTTGTCATTCAGTTCTGTCTAATACGGATAGAAGTCTATCTAATAATCAGATAGAACTGTTAAACAAAGGAATTAAAATGTATACAAAAAAGTATTATAACGATTGCTTTAATATTATTAAAGGCATATATTATAATACTTTCTCGTTTGCCGTCAGCATTTTGCAAATACGCATTTATATAATTTAAACAAATCTTTGAATGACTAATGAACATTTAATTTCACAAACCTTGCGAACTTAGTCGAACCCAGCTGTGAGATCTTGTGAAGTGTGCATGTGACCTGCATGATTGCGTGTTCTGTGACAGTCGGTCCTATGGTCCGTGCGAATTGAATACGGACAGGAGGAGAGTTCAGCTTCACTGGAGACGCACGATCGACAATCTTTAAACTCGTGACTGATTTCAAATTATGCTGCTCTTTATGCATTTGCCCACTGTCATATTCATGTCATTTTCACTGTGTGCTGCATGTAAAATGAGTGTTACCTTGGCTATATCTGAAAAAATATGATTCCCAATGCACACAAACTTACCAGAATACTGAGTGTCCTGTTGGTTACAATGTTTACTTCCTTTTTAATTATATTTTTATTAAATATTTATTTATTTGTGAAAAATACTTTGTCTTCTAGAGTATAAGTATGTTTATTTTACACGTTTTTTTTAAATCCATTTTCAAATTATTTAAAATGTCTTGAATATGAATTAAAATAAATTAAATTATATCGGCTTTATATCAACTTGGAACGGTTAATGTGTCATCACTAACAGTAAAAATCAATGAGTTTTCTGAGATGCCACAACATTGCACAGCCTCTGGTTGTAAAAACCACAGAAATGTAAATTTCCAAAGAAATGTGATTAAACTTTCACAAGAGTTTTTTATTTTTATTAACTCCGTATTACAGGTTTTTAAACTATGGTAACTTTTAAATTTCATCTTAGCTAAGGGCTTTGTCTTTTTGTATTGTGTTAGTTTAGCAAAATCATCTGCTCATATTCCATTTTCAAATTATTTAAAATGTCTTGGATATGAATTAAAATAAATTAAATTATATCAGCTTTATATCAACTTGGAACGGTTAATGTGTCATCACTAACAGTAAAAATCAATGAGTTTTCTGAGATGCCACAACATTGCACAGCCTCTGGTTGTAAAAACCACAGAAATGTAAATTTCCAAAGAAATGTGATTAAACTTTCACAGGAGTTTTTTATTTTTATTAACTCCGTATTACAGGTTTTTAAACTATGGTAACTTTTAAATTTCATCTTCGCTAAGGGCTTTGTCTTTTTGTATTGTGTTAGTTTAGCAAAATCATCTGCTCATATATTCATATATGTATATACGGTTAGAGACACTTGACCATTCCAATATGGCAGACGGCTTGCATATAGTGGCCTATTGAAACAGCCAGTAATAAGATATTTGCGTATATTTATCTATGCTCAGAACAACATAGCAACAAGATAACAACCACTCAGAACATCCAAGCAACTGCATAGCAACATGCTAACAACCACCCAAAAATTCTTAGCAACCACATGGCAACAAAACAGCTACTCGGATCACCCTAACAACTGCATAGCAAGAAATAATAACTATAATAATAATAATAATAATAATTAAAAAAAAAAACTGCATAGCAAGATGCTAACAGCTACCCAGAACACCAACCGCAGACATACTGCATAGTAATATGCTCACAACCACTCAAAACTCCCAAGCAACTGCATAGCAACACACTAACAACCATCCAGAACACCCTAGCAACCACATCACAAATACTGTAGCAATGACCTGGCAAACACATTTTCTTCATTAAATTTCACAGGCGAGTGACTGAAGGATTTAATGTCTGATTTAGTTCATGTTTACAGCCCAAATCTATTTGATGTATTTCGAGAAGGAAGTCTAATCCCAGTGTGCATTTGTCTGTGCTTGTGTGATTCCAGAACAATAGTGCCATGGAAAATGTTCCGGCAGTGCCTTCACGACGTGCACCCCATCAGCTCCGGGTTGGAGGCCATGGCTCTGAAATCCACCATCGACCTCACCTGCAACGACTACATCTCCGTCTTTGAGTTCGACATCTTTACTCGTCTTTTCCAGGTAACCCCTAAACCCCTCACCTCCCACAGCTCCATTTAAGACCATTTCTCTCGAATTCTCACCATTTAGATCTGCTTATATCAAGCTAACATTTAAATGTCAACTACTTTCTAAAAGCAGCTAATCGTAATAACGAAAGTGATACAGAAGGATCACCCTGGTTTTTCTCTCACTCCAGCGTGGGTCGATCAACTCATTCGGAGGAGAAACCGTGTACACAGATGTCTCACAGATAACCACGCTTAAATTGAAAACATCAAAAACGTCTCAATGTTTTGTAGTCATCACGTCTGATGGAAAATAGCGCTAACACTGGGGATCACCTCTGCGAATGAGTGTCGAGTGGGAGGTTTGTTTTAAGCAGAGGAATCCCTAAGTTAGAAAAACACACCTCATCCTTAACCACAACACACATGCTTACAAACCTGTGCTTGCACAAGCCTTATTACATATCGGCTGAAAAACACCTACTTTTTTTGTCTACCTACTCAAGTCTTTGGTGCAAAAAAATACTCAAATTCCCAGAAATGTGCTGGAAGGACCCACATCATTTCATTAGCGTGGATTTGTTTATGCATGCGAGTCAATCGGTGAGCAATGTGACGTTTTTATCTCATGCCGTGCTTCTAATCGTCATGTGATGTTCCTCGGCTGAATCACCACACACGACCCCCGCTACCTTACAGCCAAAGCCAACAAAACTACACCCTACTCATTTAAACATCCAAAATTCTGTCTCTTTGTAGCTCTGCTGCAGATTTTGGGGAATTGCTTAAGTTTGGATTGGTTATGGGAAACGGCATATTTTTTATGTATCAAGAGTCCCAGCTGCTTTTCATTTAGTTCTGATATGTCAAGATGAGTTTAAGAATGTACAAAGAGACAAAAAGTATTGGACCTTTAAGTTACTCTTGAAAATGTTTAAATGTCATTGTATTATGTTTTCAAATTGCAGTCCAGGGGCCATTAAAAGGTACTAGCAGGTTTGCAGAAAATGTGTAATAAAATTTGTTTTTAGGGCTATCAGAATGAATGTTTGTTAACATTAAGAAATTAACTTAATAAAAAGTAAATGTTTCTCAATATTTTAATAATTTGGCTTTAGTGCAGTGACCAAATAAAAGCGAATTATTTAATTAGCTAATATTTAATTATTTAATTTTTAATAAGATATCTTTAAATTATCACATTTTTGTGACACGAAAATACTGATATTTTTATATTTTAGGCAGCAGGTCATCATATTTGGGATTCCTTAGAATCACAAACCCCTGCATTAGAAAATACAATTCAAAACAAACAGCATCTGCAAAGAAATGATGGTTGATCTTAGAACTACAGTAACTTCCCTTTTCTTTTGATTTTTAATGGATATAGCCACTTCCCCATTACCATTGTGCATTAACTATAACCATGTTCAATGAACCTCTGACAACCAGAAAGTTTCCAAATATTTGTTTTCTTCATTTTAAACAGCATATTTATTAGTTTATAATTCAAAACACTTATTTTTGTTAAATGTTTAGTTTGAAGTGTGTTTGTGGTTTTCATCAAAATAAATTGCACATGGTTTGATCTTTAAAAAAATAAAAAAAAGGTTTTATGCAACATTCATTCATTTTTAACTATGATGTAGGTGTCCAAATACTTTTGTCGACATTTTGAATAGCACATTTATTATTTTATCATTTAAAACACTTGTTTTGTGTGCTAAATGTTTAGTTTGAAACATGTTTGTGCTGTTCTTCTTTCAAATAAATAGTGCAAAGATAATGTAATTATAATTATATAATACATATTATTGTATAATCTAAAACACTTTTGATCATATATTTGTTATACGTTTAGTGTGAAAAGTGTGTAACAGTCAGGCATTTTTATCTGTGACTTGATATTTATTTTTTGTATGATTATTGTAAATCTAACTTCAAGGAACAGTTGTGCACCTAGTTTAGTTGGTGTGTCACAGCTTTGTTGATTTAATCGTCTGAAAGGTGGTAAAAATGCAGTGCACTGTATGCTGGCACACTCCAGTCTGACGTCTGTTTTCTGAGCTCTTTGCAGTATTACAGATTACGCGCTTCCTAAAACCACTACCTTTCTCTCTAATTCTTTTCTCTTTCCTCTAGCCGTGGGGCTCAATCCTGAGGAACTGGAATTTCCTGGCAGTCACACACCCAGGCTACATGGCCTTTCTGACGTATGATGAAGTAAAGGCACGTCTGCAGAAGTACATCAACAAACCTGGCAGGTACAGACTAGTCTATGTGTAACTGGATGGCTGTAATAGACGTACCATCTGCTGCGTGGTGCGCCAGGCCAGCCAGCTGTTTTTCTCCAGTTAGCTTATTACAGGAGGCTCTTTGTCTGCGCTTCTCTCCGACTCTTGTTTGTCATTTAGCAGGCACTGGTCTAGCATCTAAGATCAGTGTAACCTGGAAATGAACCCCTGACCATTGCATTGGCAGCCTAGATTGTACCGTACCAGTACGCTAAGGGTGCCGGGCAGTGCCGCAGGGAGACAGGGGTAGTTAAATCCAGTCTTTTTGGATTAGCTGATTAGAGAAACCGCATCGCATCTGTGCCAAAACAACTCCGAGGTCCAGAGCCAGATGGCAGGCATGATTACACACTGGTTAGAGTCGTTTAATGCAACAGCAAGATAATAGTGAAGCCATAAAATGCTGATGTGGGTTCGAGAGATGTGGCTGAACAAACAGAAGCAAGTCAAGGACACTGGGTGGTCGAGCAGAACTGTATGCAAATACCAGTCTACTGAAGAGGAGCAGCAGCTGTGTGTGTGTGTGGTGAGAAGGTCATGGCAGCACCCAAGGAGGCTATATGTGTTTCACGCTGAGCATCTACCCGTGACCGTCACCTGGCAAAATCAAGCTTTTGACATGCCGGATGTCATATTCATGTCCGTTTTTTTTTTTATCAGGGCAGTGTGACACGAGAGGCAGGGCTCATTAGTGCGGAAACACACACTCGCTGTCTCAGTGGTCACAGCAGCCCGGAGCTTTTTATGATCTGTGTGTGTGTTTGTGTGTGATGACTCGGAGGGTGTTGGTGACTTGGTTTGCTTTCCATGACAACCTCTCTACCCAGTGCCACAGTGCAGAATAACCAGCCGTGGGAAGCTGAATTACCCCAGGAAACAAAAACTGATAGCTGGAAGTCTATTTTTGAAGAATACCCTTGTTGCATGAAAGTAAATGAGGACTGAGGCTGAAAAGCTCCAAAACGTGCAAAAAAACTGAAATCTCAATAAAAATTTTTTTATGTTATAGTACTACTCGCGTCCACGTTGAATGCGATTCTGGTGTGTCAAAATTAACTGTAGACATCAGAGGTGGAAAGATGTCGATAAATATACATTAGGACTATTTCTATTTGTTATGACATTGATATATGAACTTTTGGAGTCAGGTAAGCTGAATTCATAATGCTTCCTCTGTTGTGAGCCTGTGCGCTCCTCTAAACTGTCCGGCTGCTGCACTGCATTGCTCTCGCGGCTGATTGTTGCACCTTTGTTCCTACAATATCACATTATTAACAACTCTTTTGAAAATTGAATCCTTTGTGGATCCTCCTGATCTATTCGTTCATCTTTCACCATGTCTCTTTGACAAAAGGCAGCATCTCAGTCTCACGTGTGCTGCATGTGAGTTAACCACACCCACTTATTTACATGTTGCGGTATACACCGAATAAAAAAAAATCTGTTGCGGTTGACAATTTATGCCACGGTAGCGATATATATACTGCCATATGTCAATGGTTAACAGCTCACTGGAGGAGAAAATTTCAGTGAAAATGTTTTGAATTGAGCTATTTCCCACACAAAGCTGTCATATGACTTCAGAATATTTAAATGGTAATTTTTCATACTTTTTTTTTTTTTTTTTTTTTTTTTTTACTTCAAAGCTTTAGTCCCCATTCATTCTATTAGCATGGACATTTTTTCAAAAGTGAATTATGACTAAAAACGAGTCTCTTAGACTATGATCTGCCCTGTGACAGAGCGGTTTGGTTTATCTATGGTCAGATTTCAAAGTAAAAATTGATATCAAATCAATAAAAAAAAATCTTTGAAGCCAATTTTTTTCAGTGTAGGTACTGCATTTGCCTAGCCTATAAATAAAGTGTCAAATGATAAATTATGCCAATAGTACATTTTAAAAGCATAAAAGGAAAGATACTGTAGCAGCTCTCATATTAAACAAAAGAGAGAGGAGAAAGAGTGACTGACAGAGAGATGAGTTGAAAGAGTGTTAACAAGAGTTATTGTCAAGACTGTACAATTTTTTTCCCCCTGTGCATGAAAAGCTCCATGTCCAGCATGAAAGCAGCACAGTGGAGCATTATGGGATTAATCACATTTAACACAGAGAGCTCCATTTATCCCTAGCAGATGCATTAGAAATAACTCTAATGTAATCAAGAAATTCTGCAACAATCCTTTACATCAGGCCATGACCTTTTCCTGTGGTGGATCAGTGTGTGCGGTCTGATTTCTCAAAATAGTGGCTCAAACATGGCAAAATGTCACTTTTGTTGAAGTGTTGCATGTACCTCATCGAATTGTCTTATTTTGGCCTTGCTAACCTTTGTTTGATCCATCTCATTCACATGTTTGTGATGTTTGTGACATCACACGAGGAAGTAGCATTTATCATTGCAAATCGAATTCTGCAAGACACATGTATAAACTCTTCCACCTCCTGCTGAGAAATGTCAACCTGTTCTCCTTCCATTCCTCCGTCAGAAACATTTTTTCCCCCTTTTTCCGGCCTGAGTGCCAGCCTGTGCCACCCTGATGCTGTGGGATACTGAATGGAAAGGTTCAGTCTGGTACCAGCTAGTCTCTCAATCCTGGCTGAATTTGTTGTTCAGCAGTTGCATAACCAAGAGACATCTTTGAATAACTCCAAAAATGTGCTTTTCGTTTCCTTTTCCTCTTACGTTTCTTGGTAAAGGGGCATGCAGAAGTAAATGTCATCCATATGGTTGTGTTTTTCCCTCCATTGTTTTTCCTAGCCTTTGATTATTTCATAATTTCTGTTAGGATATCAAAACTTATGCACTATTGTTTTCAGTTTCTACCCAAATAAATGTTTTCTTTAACATAATCGACCCAAGCCTGCTGCTTTCATGCAAATGATAAGCACACAAGTGTTCTATTTACATAACCTAATTCGTGCTCATGTTATTTGTCAGTGGTTTTGGTGTGCATTATGGTTTTTTACAGTTGGTTTCTCTCTCGCTCCGTCCCCAGCTACATCTTCAGGCTGAGCTGTACGCGGTTAGGACAGTGGGCCATTGGCTACGTCACCAGTGATGGCAACATCCTGCAGACCATCCCACATAACAAGCCGCTGTTCCAGGCACTTATTGATGGATGCAGAGAAGGCTTGTGAGTACCTATACAGATTAAACTATTAAATAAACATCAGAGGCCTAGTGGTTGCTGCATGTTGAGCCATGGTGCTCATGTCTCCATTATCAAACTATTAAACTTTGTAACTTGTCACAATAGTTTTTATCTTTACATGATTTTTTTATCAGTAATTGAATCCAGAATGGTAACAGCTGTGCAGTAAACCATAAAAGTGCAGTTTGTAGGTTTGGCACCACTTTGCTTTTTAATTTTATTAAGTGCATTGATTGCAAGGAGCATTGATTGGCTTTTTTTCTACATAAATATAAGTAATTATTTCCTGCATCTGAGCCAGCAGTGGTGCATATTTTAATATTAACTGACTAAGTTTGATTGAATGGGCCAAAGACAGGGTTCTGGCACCCTGTGTCCAGATCTGCTCATTTTGTCCCATTTTCCTGGAATCAACTCCTGTAGTTCTTCTGTGAAGCACCCTTTCTGCTCAATATGTACGGATAAATTGTAAACAAACACAAACACACACAGACACACACACACACTCACACTCTGTTCACCCCTTTCTCTTTGTTGGCAGGTGTCTTACTGGCATGTCTGTTTAGGGCATCATTTGTGGGTTTAGCTGCATGTAGCTGTCACTGTTGCTGTGTCAGCTGTCTCTGAACCACATCACATTACTGGTTTTGTGGCTTTGTCTGCCCAGCCCAGTGCCACACGCCAATCTCACACCATCTGAGCTGTACCATGTTCTCCAAATTCTGTTTAGATAAAGAATCTGATATGCATGCACAACTCTGTTTTCTTCACACAAAAAGACTGACACCAGGCGCGCACAAGAAACTGATTTCTACAGAATTTTAACTCCTGTCATTTAATTTGTTTGCATTCTGTAGGTTTTTAAGATAATTTGATTATGCTTTAAGTCATCAGTAACTGCTGTCGGCACTATTTAACACATTTTAACCATTCTGTTTAAAACCATTCTGCTGAATTCTTCCCAACACAGAAAATGCAGAAAAACCCCCTGCAGATTTTGTCTGGACGTCTCTCTCTCCCTCTCTGTTCTCTTTCATCTGATTGCCCCAGCCGAGAGGTTTGATCCCTGCTGTATGTGCAGCGGTTCAGACATTGGCTGTGATTGGATGGGCTGGGGAGATGGCCCACTTTCACAGCACAGCAATGGAGATGCCACAGAACCAGTTGCACATGAGGACAAGTCTCTTAACCTTGTTCTCTTTCTGCTGTCTTTCTCTCCATCTGTAGTTATCTGTTTCCAGATGGGCGCAGTTATAACCCAGATCTCACAGGCCTATGTGAACCCACCCCACAAGACCACATTAAGGTCACACAGGTTAGTAACCGATGCACGTTTGGGTAGGCTATATGTCAGATTTTGTATATGATCTTTTTCATCACATTTTTTTCTCTCTTTTTTCGGTCTTTTTAGGAGCAGTATGAGTTGTACTGTGAGATGGGCTCCACGTTTCAGCTGTGTAAGATCTGTGCCGAAAATGATAAAGATGTTAAGATAGAGCCATGTGGTCACCTCATGTGCACTTCCTGTTTGACATCATGGCTAAACATCAGAGGCCTAGTGGTTGCTGCATGTTGAGCCATGGTGCTCATGTCTCCATTATCAAACTATTAAACTTTGTAACTTGTCACAATAGTTTTTATCTTTACATGATTTTTTTTATCAGTAATTGAATCCAGAATGGTAACAGCTGTGCAGTAAACCATAAAAGTGCAGTTTGTAGGTTTGGCACCAATTTGCTTTTTAATTTTATTAAGTGCATTGATTGCAAGGAGCATTGATTGGCTTTTTTTCTACATAAATATAAGTAATTATTTCCTGCATCTGAGCCAGCAGTGGTGCATATTTTAATATTAACTGACTAAGTTTGATTGAATGGGCCAAAGACAGGGTTCTGGCACCCTGTGTCCAGATCTGCTCATTTTGTCCCATTTTCCTGGAATCAACTCCTGTAGTTCTTCTGTGAAGCACCCTTTCTGCTCAATATGTACGGATAAATTGTAAACAAACACAAACACACACAGACACACACACACACACACACTCACACTCTGTTCACCCCTTTCTCTTTGTTGGCAGGTGTCTTACTGCTATGTCTGTTTAGGGCATCATTTGTGGGTTTAGCTGCATGTAGCTGTCACTGTTGCTGTGTCAGCTGTCTCTGAACCACATCACATTACTGGTTTTGTGGCTTTGTCTGCCCAGCCCAGTGCCACACGCCAATCTCACACCATCTGAGCTGTACCATGTTCTCCAAATTCTGTTTAGATAAAGAATCTGATATGCATGCACAACTCTGTTTTCTTCACACAAAAAGACTGACACCAGGCGCGCACAAGAAACTGATTTCTACAGAATTTTAACTCCTGTCATTTAATTTGTTTGCATTCTGTAGGTTTTTAAGATAATTTGATTATGCTTTAAGTCATCAGTAACTGCTGTCGGCACTATTTAACACATTTTAACCATTCTGTTTAAAACCATTCTGCTGAATTCTTCCCAACACAGAAAATGCAGAAAAACCCCCTGCAGATTTTGTCTGGACGTCTCTCTCTCCCTCTCTGTTCTCTTTCATCTGATTGCCCCAGCCGAGAGGTTTGATCCCTGCTGTATGTGCAGCGGTTCAGACATTGGCTGTGATTGGATGGGCTGGGGAGATGGCCCACTTTCACAGCACAGCAATGGAGATGCCACAGAACCAGTTGCACATGAGGACAAGTCTCTTAACCTTGTTCTCTTTCTGCTGTCTTTCTCTCCATCTGTAGTTATCTGTTTCCAGATGGGCGCAGTTATAACCCAGATCTCACAGGCCTGTGTGAACCCACCCCACACGACCACATTAAGGTCACACAGGTTAGTAACCGATGCACGTTTGGGTAGGCTATATGTCAGATTTTGTATATGATCTTTTTCATCACATTTTTTTCTCTCTTTTTTCGGTCTTTTTAGGAGCAGTATGAGTTGTACTGTGAGATGGGCTCCACGTTTCAGCTGTGTAAGATCTGTGCCGAAAATGATAAAGATGTTAAGATAGAGCCATGTGGTCACCTCATGTGCACTTCCTGTTTGACATCATGGCAGGTATGTATAAAGATGTTTTTATACTTCACTTGTGTATTTAATTTGTGTGTGTGTATGAAATGCCAAACTCCTCCTGAAAATTCGTAGTTAGAATTTTTTTGTGTTCTAATTACACATAATTAATATTTTCACACTTTTGCATAATTTGACATTGAAATTGAAATGACCTTGATTAGGAAATTACACAAGATTAAAACATTTTACAAAAAGTGATTTTTCTTTAATTTCTTCAAACATTTCGTCTTAAGCATGCTCTTCGATGGCACTGTTGTCACTTATTAATTCAGTACACTAATTGTTTTGGGGAAGAAAAAAAAATTATGCCCAGTGCTCAGCTGATGGATTTAGTTAGAAGTGCTTTAATGTCATGCTATGACCGGAATACTGAGCGTTATCAGGGCTCAGAGGGGAACGAACAACAGGTAATCTGTCTATGTTGCCCTTGCATTTGTCCTGATCACAAATGCAAGTGGCACCACAGCAGGCAGGTGAAGGAATGGCAAATAGGGCGGGAAATGTGTCCTTTCTGGTTGCATTTATCCTCTGGGTATGTGTTTCTGTGTGTCAGTGTATGATTGCGATTGTGTATGTTTACATGGGTGATGTTAGACGTGTTGTGAAGTGTGTTTGTGTTTACAGTTTAAGCATCTTCCGAATTGCCAGAAATGTTTAGATCTAGGGCGTTGTCTGAGCATCAGAGCTTGTCTTATGATAAACAAATATTTCAGGGCCACGGTAGGGTCAGCTAAACTCAGATGCTTCAGCCAGATGCATGCTGCTTTTTCTTGTTATAAAGGGAAGTTCACTTACTCAAGCGGATCCAATCATATTTCTGATTTGAACCTTGATGCTCCTGTGGGAGAAGCAGGATCGAATCTGGCCAGCATCATCCACCGATTCCATTCCTTCTTTCTGACTCCAATAATGTCCTCAACATTTTGAGAAAGAAGCGGTATTATTGTTGTGTTTCGTGATTTTTGTTCTATTGGTCGCAGTATTTTTCACTCTGCTGCTCATGGATCTGCTACCATCTAGATTTCTGAGAGGCTGAAGATCAGATTTGTGCTTATTGACCATGAACCTGTGTTCTTTACTGTGTTAAAGTTGAAGTGAAGTGCTCAAGGTAATTGAATTCAGAAGAGCACTTCATCAAAACAATACAATGGCCCCTAAAAAATTATTTTGATGCTTACAAATGTATGAATGTCACTGCCTTAAATAAGAAAATGTCAAACCAAAGTGCCATTAATTTTAAACAGAAATATAGCATAAACACATTTTTCAAACAGATCATTTCAGAATAACATTTTGAAAAGGTTTTTTTTTTAATCTAACAGTTTTTCTGAAAAATGTCTAATATAAAACCGTAGACATGCAGCTCAAAATTAAGATTAAGAGACTTTCTGCTTCTCAAATGTTGATGAAACAGTTAATGTGCTACTTTAAGTTTAGATGCAAGTGTTTACTTGCGTTTGTGCTGCATTTAAGTATAAGAATGTGAGAAGAATGGTGTCATATCTGCTTCATTACAGAATTGTCACTGAACACTCATTATATTAACAATATATTAATCTAAAATGACATCTAAAAGGCCTCAGCTACAGTCCTTCACGAGACATAATATTAGTGCTGTGTGAATTTTTAAAATATCTTCTGCTGTTGCTCACCCTCTCACTTTCTAGAACAACCAAAGTGGCTTCACTTTTAACCTGTCACCTGCCTTTAAAAGGGACCTAACAGTTATATAAACCATTGAACTGGTTGAGAGCCTAGAGAAGTGTCGTCTCACCTCCTAGCTGGCCGAGGCATTAATATTCATTGCTATTTTTCTGGTAAGTTTACGAGCACACACAGCAGTGAAATTTGGATGGTGACTATCCCTTAGAAATCTCGATCTCCTTTAGTTTTTAATGGCCTTGTTTTATGCCGAGTCAGTTCGGGTGTTTCTTTTTCCTCCGTTTAAGGGCTTTAATTAGGATTAGGTTTCAAACTACGCTTTGATGTCTTTTCAGCGACCCCTCAACCAGATGGCAGCCATGATCATCTTTTGTTCTTGTAAATATCGACACACTTTGATTCTCCGAGTTTAATGGAGGAAATGAAAGATGATTGTTTTTCATTTTGCCATGTGTAAGCTGTCTCCAGGCCGTGCGGAGCCGTGCAACATGACGAACTTGCCTACCTGCCTGCATGAGAGAAATTCAGTACTCGGCTTGAGGGGGTAGCATGTGTGTTCCAGCTGTTTGTAATCAAGCATGGCCCTTCAGATCCTGCCAGTAAAGAGCTTCCTCATAGCAGAGGCATATTTCCACAACAGTCTGTCAGTGTTTACAGCACTATACAAATAAGCAGCCCAGAACCGTTGGGGTAGAGATCACCGGAGGTACTACGCTCTGTGTGTGTGCTTGTGTCCAAGAGGCGGTTTTCTGGACTTCAACAAGTGTTTGTGTGTGTTACAAGTATGTGCTAGTATTTTAAAGCTCACTCAGTGTGTCCTCGACTCTTGTCTGCAGGATTCTGATGGTCAGGGCTGCCCGTTCTGTCGCTGTGAGATCAAAGGAACCGAGCCCATTATTGTTGATCCGTTTGACCCACGCAACGTAGGAGCCAAGTGCTTCTTCCTGGACCACTTCAACTCCCCCATGCTGGACCTGGATGATGATGATGACAAAGAGGAATTGCTGGTTATAGACCATATCAAGAAGGTAAAATATCCATGACATTTCCAAAGTCATTTCAAATTAATCTCTTAAACTCAGTGCTGCATTTAGTTGATCAAAAATACAGTCATAACAGTAATATTATAAAATATTAGTACAATTTAAATTAATATATTTAATATATTAAATATACTTTAAATTTTAAGCAGTCATTACTCCAGTCTCCAGTATCACGATTAAAAGTATTAATTTCTTACTGACCCCAAACTTTTGGATAGTAGTGTATAAGTATTGAATATGAATTTGTGTTAATTATGTACACTTTAATATTTGTTCATGGTCTTATTGTGAACAGTTCATCAGGGCATGTTACTAAAATGGTCTACGTAATCTACGTAGTCTATGTAATATTTTACATGATCATCTTTTGTTCTTGTAAATATCGACACACTTTGATTCTCCGAGTTTAATGGAGGAAGTGAAAGATGATTGTTTTTCATTTTGCCATGTGTAAGCTGTCTCCAGGCCGTGCGGAGCCGTGCAACATGACGAACTTGCCTACCTGCCTGCATGAGAGAAATTCAGTACTCGGCTTGAGGGGGTAGCATGTGTGTTCCAGCTGTTTGTAATCAAGCATGGCCCTTCAGATCCTGCCAGTAAAGAGCTTCCTCATAGCAGAGGCATATTTCCACAACAGTCTGTCAGTGTTTACAGCACTATACAAATAAGCAGCCCAGAACCGTTGGGGTAGAGATCACCGGAGGTACTACGCTCTGTGTGTGTGCTTGTGTCCAAGAGGCGGTTTTCTGGACTTCAACAAGTGTTTGTGTGTGTTACAAGTATGTGCTAGTATTTTAAAGCTCACTCAGTGTGTCCTCGACTCTTGTCTGCAGGATTCTGATGGTCAGGGCTGCCCGTTCTGTCGCTGTGAGATCAAAGGAACCGAGCCCATTATTGTTGATCCGTTTGACCCACGCAACGTAGGAGCCAAGTGCTTCTTCCTGGACCACTTCAACTCCCCCATGCTGGACCTGGATGATGATGATGACAAAGAGGAATTGCTGGTTATAGACCATATCAAGAAGGTAAAATATCCATGACATTTCCAAAGTCATTTCAAATTAATCTCTTAAACTCAGTGCTGCATTTAGTTGATCAAAAATACAGTCATAACAGTAATATTATAAAATATTAGTACAATTTAAATTAATATATTTAATATATTAAATATACTTTAAATTTTAAGCAGTCATTACTCCAGTCTCCAGTATCACGATTAAAAGTATTAATTTCTTACTGACCCCAAACTTTTGGATAGTAGTGTATAAGTATTGAATATGAATTTGTGTTAATTATGTACACTTTAATATTTGTTCATGGTCTTATTGTGAACAGTTCATCAGGGCATGTTACTAAAATGGTCTACGTAATCTACGTAGTCTATGTAATATTTTATATAAATGTAAACTTCTGAAACAGCTTCCTTTTTTGGATGTAGCCCTTTATTTTTCAGTCCGTTCCATCCATTCTGGTATGTAATGCCAACTTTTCAAGACCCAGTCAAATAATAATGGATTGATTTTATCTTAACCCTCCAGACCTACTTTTTTGTTTTGTTGCTCTCTGGAATATGTCACGTTATGTAAGCAAAATTGGTTGTGAATTCATTTCATATTGACTTTATCATAGGTCTGTTGGCTTGTTCTGAAATGTTTACAAGCCCAAACCTGCTCCGTAGACTTCATTCGCCACTGTTGTCATTCTACTACCATCTTCTTTTTTTCTAGCCTCTAGAAAAAATGTATTCTTATTATTCACTGGACTTCAAAGAGGCCTATATCCTGCTTTTATATAGGTGCAAGAGCCTCCCGCTCTCCACCGGCATAAATATCAGTCTCTTTTATTAGAAAAAGAAACCTGTTGGAACTGGCCTCACAAGGACACAACCTCCGCAGCTCCACTGAGTAGATTCATTAAATGGTCCAGCTTGGAAAGCAATAGAGGGCACCTTCTGGCAGGAACGTTTTTAAATAGAAATGCAAGATATTATTTTTTTTCCCTCTCCTCATAATGCCCTTGCAAGAGAACTTGTAGAGGATATTGGCCTCCTAGTGGGTGAGAACTAGTTTGTACTAAGTGTAGTTTACAAAGTGCACATTATTCACCTTTTATTTCCTGTATCATTGAATTAGCAGCTCTTTCCCCCTCTGTAAATATTTTTCTGCACCATGGACAAAAGCTGGCCAGCTGCAGTTGCTCTGTTCATGGATATGCTAATGCGGCTATTAGTTGATTAGGATGTTTAATACCCTAAACTGCCCAAAGCAATTCATGGAGCTAATAGGCCATTAGGAGAACTTTGTACGCAATCATGATGATGGGTAATAATGAGTTTGTCATTGTTCTTCTCCTTGTCTTGTTTGTTAGAAGCATTTTATTTTAGTCGAGACCAAGACCTGCGCAAATTGAAACTGAATTGCACTGATTTAACAAGATTTTACATTTTCTGGGGGAAAAAATTGAATGCTGCTTAATTGTGTTAAACAGTATTTTAGGGATGACTGTCAAGCTGTTACTAAGTGGTTGCTAAGGTGATTTGAGTGTTTTTGGTGGTTGCTAGCTTTTATAGGTCCGAGGTTTTCAACCAAGGGACTGGAACCCACTAGGGGGCATCAGCAAACTTCCAAAGGGGCTTTAAGATAGCTTAATATTATTTAAAATAAGACAGAACAAGCTTTAATATAAGCTAAATTAGATGCAAATATTTTTTGTTTGAATTTGTTCCCCTCAAAACTGTCATTTTTAAGAACCAGAATTCCCATTGTTTTGGAAAATTTGGGATATATGAAGAATCGTTATTTTAGATAATAAAATCTTTTAATAAAAGATTCAAAAGTCATGGACATTTCTGTAATGAATATACATTTCGCTAGTTATGATAAGCTCTTAAAAGCAGGTAGAAATTGCTGTTTGGGAGTAAAAAAATTGAAAAAAAAAACATTTGAATTATGTATTCTTTTTTATTAATTTTATTAAATGATTTGATATATTTTCATTCCTAGTTTCAGTAATATAAAAAATACAAACAAACCTTAAAAATATCTTTGACAATGGGGGGCCTTGGAGTCAAGAAGGTAGAGAACCACTGTTCTAGCTGATTTATTTCTGATTGTCCCAAGGTCTCAAGTCTTTTTTGGTCATTTTATTGCTTAGAAAAGTAAAAGCAAAGGGCATTATGAGTTATGCACCACATTTTAAACTTATAGGTATGAACAACCCCTATAAATGAACAATAATAATGATGATTATCTTTGCAAGTGCTACTAAATATTGCATAAACCATCATCAGTGTTTCTCTGTTTCTTTGCATAGTCCATGGAGATCCAGAACTCGCCAATAATGTCTCCGAACTCATCCCCTGTGTGTGAACGCCGGAAAACCGCTGCAGATCACATGGGTCCTCACTTGAACATTCCACCCGTACCGCCCCGCCTTGATTTCATCCGTTCTCCCGCTCCTAGTCCCACAGGCTCACCCAAGGTATCTTTAGTTTTAGATCACAATACATTTTTAGATTTTTCTTCATTTTATTTCCATGTGTTCCAAATTTTTCTTTTCGCTTTGCAGTCATCTCCAGGCATGTCCAGAAAACAGGATAAACCCCTTCCTGCCCCTCCACCTCCACAGAGAGACCCTCCTCCCCCACCTCCGCCAGAACGCCCACCTCATATCCCTCAAGAAGGCCGGGCCGCCTGGCTTGTTACCCCTTCGTCTGGCCTCCCCAGGGACCCCAGAGCGCCCCTGGAGGCCTGGAGCCCTAAAGATAGCCCTGCTTTGTCAGATTGCAGGATGTCTGCTGCAGACCGCTCCCCCAAACTGGCCCACGCCGCCCCTGTGCACATCAACGGAAGACCCCTCAGCTGCTCCGGTGCAGACTTGGGGTTAAACCGGATCAGCCACAGACTGAACGCGCAGTCGGAGTGTAGTAAGGTTAGGAACACACACACATTCCTTCTGTATCATGTGGATCACGTTCACACACTCGTTTTGGGGAGCGACACATTATATTAGGGTTGGAATGTCCTTCTTTGATAAGCAGAGTCAAGAACATGAGATAAGAGCAGACATGACCGGACATTGTGCTTTGAAATCACCTAGAACCTTCTGTACTCATTCACAAGCCCTTACATGCCAATTTTAAGCCATAAATATTCACTTTTTGCTCATGGCTGTTACTAAGCAACAGTGACGGTATTCGCGGTAAAGCAAGGCTGTGAAATTCGGCTGTGTGTAGTACTTCTGGCCCTGGCATTAAAAAAAGAGGTATTTAAAAAGTTTTTAGATGTAAAAAGTCTTTCATGATTACAGCATTTGCCCTCCAACCCCACCATGTGTTTTTGCATATATCTAGGCTAATGCACCAAAATGAAAAATACATACACACATATTCATGGCTCACTGAGAGTTTATAGATTATGCTTTAAATAAACGTGTTCTGTGATAGGGGATTGGAGAGAGTTAAATATTTGATTGCAAAACTGTAGCAGGTCTCTCATTAAAGCCCTCTTGGAAACTAAACTTCTAAGATGTTTTAGGTTGTTTGAAGTGCATGTGGATCTTTTTGATCCTTTTGTTTTACTAAGGTTTGCGACATGCAATTATATTTAACCACCAATTGACTGTAAAATTCCCTCTCTCTCTGTCCTGGGTTGGCATGTCGCTATAAGGATTAATTTAGTGTCACAGTGTGGGCAGAGAGAGTTTGGCCCCTGTCCTCCCGTCACAAGCCCACACAGCTCTGTTCAGCCCACTGCCTGCAGCATCACACACTGCTCTTGATCTCTGAAATAAACAGACTCGGACATCAGAGATTTCCTTCTGGTTTATTCACTAGACACATTTACAGGATAATCTGCATGAAAATATATTAACGGTTTTCTCTTTTTTTTTTCTCTTTCTTTAATCTATTTATTTATTAGGACTGACCAGTATATAGAATATTTGTGATATGGACAATATTACTTTGTTTCAGATATAAAATTAATAATCCATCCATCCATCCTATAATAATCTATAATCAGTCCATCCTTTCATCTTTCCATCCGTTCGTCTATTCATCCATCATTCTATCTTGCCATTCATTCTTCTATCTCTATCCATTGTCTATACATCCATCCATCTATATATGCACCTTTTGTTGTCCATCCATCCATCCATCCATCCATCCATCCATCCATCCATCCATCCATCCATCCATCCATCCATCCATCCATCCATCCATCCATCCATCCATCCATCCATCTGTTCAAATGGATACTGTTTTCATCCACTATGGATCTGTTCATTCTGTCCCATATGGATATTTTCTGTATCTATATGACTGGTTGCTTATTGATCATTAAATCTAAAAATGTGTTATCAAAAATGGCTTGGTTGTATCATTTTAACATTGAAATTTGTGTGCATGTATTTCTCTACAGTCTTTCATCAACGGCCTGTTACCTGGAGATGAGTATGACATCCCCCCTCTGCGTCACTCCCCTCCCCTTGTGGACCACAACCAGAGGTAAGCGACACACACACACACACACATACACACACACACACACACACACACACACACACACACACACACATACCACTCCCTTCCCTGGAGCCCTGTTGCTGCTCTTGTTTTTTGTGTGCATGTTGATCATAAACGCTGTAAAGCTGCCGAATCTTTCTTTATTCTGAAGGGAGTCTCACCAAACAAACAACCTCATATCATGTTCGTGTGATGACAAATCACCTGTTTGTCGCTCTCAAGCGTTGCATTTTTTTTCTTGGACTTGCTGATCTCTTAACGCGATCCAGAGCATCTTTTCCTGCTTTGCTTATTGATCTGCTCTCGTGATGTTCCATGACTGAATTATTGCTTTTTCATACAAATAATTTTTGTGATGAAAAGACAAAAAGATCATTGGATTGAATTAATGTTTTTAATATGATCCAGGGATCATGTGCACAGGCTGCATCCTGTATATCTCTAGAGCTCTGTCAAACAACACACACACACACACACACACACACACACACACACACAGCTCTACATTGTTTCAAACAGAGTGCAGTCAAACGGAGTGGTAGGAAAGCTCATGCACAGACACATGGCAGTGATTTGATCAAATTTACAAGAAAATCTCTTGACTCAAATCTCTGCTTCGCTAAGCAATGTTAACAGTGTGTTTCTCTGACACAGTCACAGAGAATGATACATACAGCAGAGTTTGGACACAGGTGCACAAATTATGCAAGAGCGCCAGGATCCGGAGAGCATGTTCTCTTTAAACAAACATAAAGGCATACACATACACACACACACAGGTTTGTTTTTGTGAAAAGTGGGGACATCCCATAGGCGTAATTGTGGAGTTGTGGACTTCCTGTGGGGCTTTTGAGGGAGTTAAGCAGAATCAGCCTATGAGAGGTTATACTCCAAGCAGCAAGCCATATATCCTCTTCTGTCACAAACACTTATGCTCTTTCTTTGCTTTATATTGTGCTCAGAGTGTTGGATCTGTGTTGTTATTATTGTAGTTAGATAAAAATAAGTGGTTAATTAACAGTAAACTTCACCACTTAGCTTGTTGTGCTGTTTTTGTGCTACAGATACATGATGCCTCAAATTATGTTGCTTGTTCAGAAGAGGTGTGCTCGTACTTTTCTAAGTGATTGGACTTTTCACATGGATAAAATTCCCATTTGAAGGTGGTTTGACTTTGCTTTGAGAAACTGCAAAGCAATGTCTACAAACACACGGAACACCTTATCAACAGCATAGCAAGATTTTAAAAACCATTCAGAACACCTTAGCAGAACCATAACAATGTATTAAAAACTACTCAGTATGTTGCTAAGGTGTTCGGAGCAGTTTTTAAAATGTTGCTATGAGGTTGCTAAGGCATTCAGTGTGTTTTTTAGGTGTTGCTTTGCAGTTTCTCAAGGAAAAGTAAAAAAAGCTGCTACAAAGTCGTTAGTAGTAGTATTGTTAGTATTTTGCTATGGAGTGGTATGTTGCTATACAGTTGGTAAAGTATTCTAAAAACAATGAGCGTCATAGTATAGCAAATATAGCATTAGTATAGCAAATTTTGAATAGATTTCTGAGTAGCTTTTAATATGTTTCTAAGGTGTTGTTAAGTGTTGGGGAAAGTTACTTTTAAAAGTAATGCATTACAATATTGCGTTACTCCCTAAAAAAGTAACTAATTATGTTACTTAGTTACTTTTTATGGAAAGTAATGCGTTACGTTACTTTCGCGTTACTTTTTAAATCTGGACAGGGCTTGCTTGTTTGTTTTTAAAATAATTTTTTTTTATTTTTGGCAAATATATTGCTATATACTTGCCAAGGAGCGGTTTTTAGTATGTTGATATACGGTTGATAAAGTGTTCTAGAAACACTCTAAACGCCTTAGCAAATGCTTAGCAAAGCTCTGACTATCACCCATAGCACCCTAGTCATTGGTTTGGTTGTCAATGTTAATAGCTTCATTCATGCAACACTGTTGTGCTCTTCTCAGAAGTTCCTGCTACAAGAAGTGTGTTTCTGTCACCGCTTTGACAAATGAAACCGAGAGGCTCTGGAAACCACAATGGTTGTTGTTTAGAGCACAGAATAATAATGCTGTATGTCTACGTATGTGGTGTATCTGTCCATAGAGCTGCGTCAGTAGTCAGTGATGTGTTTATAGAGGCTGAGATCATTGTTTTGTTAGTAAGTATAGTAAGCCTTTTCTGTTGGTTTCAGGGCACACTGGGTTCTTTGTGATGAGCATCACACTTACCAGCATATGTTAACTGAACGTCAACCAACGTCTTGGAACTGTTGAGAGTACTTTCCACCTCCTCAAAGAAAGCAAAACATGTGAACCTGTCATCTCTCTCTCATAGGTGTTTTCACATTGCTATGGTTGGCTTCTGTTAAAGACTTGGCAAATGTACTTCCATAAACACTGTCTTGATGTCTTGGAAACAAGGAGCACTTCGAAACACTTGAAAAAGATCTTTAATGAATCTCTTCATCGTCACATGGACAAGCAATGTCTAAAGTGCCCTCTAATGGTGCATCGTGGTATAGCAGCCCAGACTTGGCTGGAAAGACCACCCATCGTAACTCAGCCAGAGCTGGTTAACCTCTTTTACCCTGTAGATACCGATCTGTTTAAATATTGGCCGGCTTTGCCTACTTCAGCCCAGCCTTGTGACTCTTAGTTAGAGCATTACATGATTAAACTGGCTAATCTCGCAGTGACCAGCTTGCACACTGCAGAGTACTCATTTCAGTGAGTCAGCATGAAGGCGGAGAACATCGTCCAAATCTCCCATCTAAGAGTGCTGCGGCGTCAGTTACAATGCTGTCATCTATGTAAATATTTACTTATGGTTATATCACACTGCTGTAATTTGGGAGCACATGAGGTGGTTTATTTGAGTATTTGCTAATGCAGTAATTCATATTTGGAGCTAGGGAGTTGTTCAAGTATGTATCAAGTTTTCCATGGTACATACATGAATGATGTCTCAAATCATGCTGTTGTTGAGCAAAGATCTGCTTTTACTTTTCTAAGCCATCAGATTTATGCTAAAACAGGCAAAAAACTCCCAACAGATTTGGACTGAAACGGAAAACAAGTCTATATAAAGACTAGAATATCATAGAATAAAAAAAAACTCTAATCCCCTATACCATCTGCATAACAACATGCTAAAAACAATCGGAACCCGTTACTGACCGCATAGCAACATGCTATGTAGGGCTGAATGGTGTCACTGTGGTCTGAGAACCCGATCTGTTGCCGATCTGATGCCTGAAGCATCATGGGATTGGGTGGTTCTGATTCTGTGGCGTCATTTGTTCCTTTACGTGTTGTGAAATCAAATGTGTTTTTGGTGATCTACAGACACACCAACCCCTTCACAAGCCACCGGAGTCTGACGGACAGAGTGGAGGATGAGTATCAGATTCCCTCATCACATCCCGTCTGCATCACACAACCTCCCATCTGCATCCCCTTCCGCATCCCCAACAGGTAAACACACACACATGATAGTGAAACAATGACTCTTTTAATGTGCCACCCATATTTACATGTGTTTTCTCTCCATAAAGGGCTTTAGAAAATGGCTCGTCGGATCTCTCAACAGACATAAAGAAACATAAACCTCCAGAGCATGGTGAGAGAACACACACTTGTACACATATAGACACACACCGTCATCTTCACTTTTTGTATGACCATCTTTTAGTGTGATTGTGGGAGTTTGTGTGTTTGTAGCGTCAGGGACTAAAGTATACATTGTTTTATGTGGCAGCCAATGGTGGTTGAAATCTCAGAGGCCAGTTAACTGTGTTGTGTCCCTCAGGTGGGTTTGACTCTGGTTCGTTGTTTTCGGGTGTGGCTCACACCACACAGTGCCTCCTCAACAACAGGACACCCTCAGACTACGACATTCTACTGCCCCCTCAAGGTAGCCAATGGCACAGCGCCTCAATCTGATTGGCTGCCTAATTAGTTCATTGCTGTTTATTTGATTTGTTGATTTGTGTTTTGCATTTACTATTGCACTAGTTTACACGAAATGAGCTGCAAACTACAATGCAGTCATTATTCATTATTGAGTCGCTAAATCTTATTATTATCGTAAATTAAGAGCTGTATGACGTGCATAAGGTGTGTTTATGCTGTGCCTCTTTTCTGACATTTAAGATTAATTCGTATTTTACATTTATTCACTTTCACTTCCATAAATCTTTGATAGAGCTTTGATTCTTGAGTATATTGAATTGCCTTTCAGTTTAATTCGTAATCATACCACCTTCATAAACTTTAAGGTAAAATATTACACTTTTTCTCAATTGCTTTGACACAAAAATTAATGCTGTTAGTTGTATAGTTGTATATAAGCTTTTATTTCTGAGTTGCAAATCTGTTAATTTAGTAAATTACACCAGTTCAGAAACAGTAGTATTAAAAACTTTTTATGCTTGTACAAATGGGTATGACCAGTGTGTCTAGTGTTTTCATAAAATGTGTCAGCAATTTCATAGTAAACATTTCATTTAGATTCAGGGAGCAATCATTTCATGCCTGAATTATATTTTAGCTCCATCTGTTGGTAAGAGGAGGGATTGCTGAGGCACGTAGAAAGACTCGATGTCTTTCTCTCTCTCTCTCTGTTCTCCTAGCGTCTCCAATGGAAGACCCGTTCAACTCTCTTCCTCCTTCCCAGCCTCCTCCCCCTCCCCCCATTAGGAACAGTTTCACAGAACCCTCCTCCTCACCCTACCCCAGACCTGCCCGCCCCTCGTCTGGACACGATCACTTCCTGCTCAGCCCTGGTGAGGCCGATCCCACATATCACTACTAATGTAGTATACACTATTACTGTAGTATAAATAACAAATCCTGCTTTATTTGGGTTAAATTGCTGTCTAATCATTGGTGTGATTCACAGACACTTTCATAGACGCATTGAATAACTCGGCTCCCAGTCCCCCTGTGCGGAGACTAACAGGAGACAACATGAAGAAGCCATTCAGGGCTCCGCAAGACTACGATCAACTGCCACCAACCTCAGGTACTAAGTTGAAAAAGTGAATGAGCCAAGTGAATGAAAATAGAATGAGCCAAAAATATACACGTAATATCCTGATAAAACAGCTGTGAGCACAGTGTGTTGTTCTGAATACATAATAGCCGTGCAGGTTTTATTAAATGAAGCCATTAGCCATCAAGATGAATGCGCTCAATGAATTATTAATTATTAGCCTGTAATGGGTTTTTAATGTGTTCAGAGTCTTTTTAGTCAGCATGCTACCATCCACTCTCAATGGCCCATTTTGACTAAACGCTCTTTGTTTCCTGTTTACAGTGGCCGGAGATTGCTTCAGGGCACCTGAGAGACCTCCAAAGCCACTTCCCAGGATCATCCCACCAGACATCCACAGAAGACCGCACGAATCGTCCCGGGAGAATGTCGACGCCAAGATCGCCAAGCTTATGGGGGAGGGCTACTCATTTGAAGACGTAAAACGAGCACTGATGATCGCGCAGAACAAAGTGGACGTGGCACGGAACATTTTGCGGGAGTTTGCGCTAGTCGCCCCCAGGCAGGGCCTGTAGCCCGTGTCAAAATGATTTCGCCCCCAGGCAGGGCCTGTAGCCCGTGTCAAAATGATTTCAAACTAATTACGACTGTCTCGAAGCGTACAAACCGCAGGCTGACGTCCGCTTGCTTTCGTTTAGCACATACTGCAAACGAGATGAAAACGTGTGCTTTTTCACCAAAAGGAGCCTAATGGAGGGGTGCGATTGTAACAATGGGATCCTGTGAAAAAAAAAAAAGCCTGGTGTTTACAGTGACATGGCTTATCTGCAGCACTCAGGTCATCGTCATTTCAGCTCGGGCTGTTCAAGAGAGGAAATGAAATTGAATTTTTTATATTTGGAGGAGTCCATCCACATTTTAAGCTGGATTTGCTGCATCCTTCAAAGTAGTGACGTTTGTATTTCTCTCAAATTTTCTGGACTGAAATGAGAGCAGCTCTGAGCACTTCTGTTTTTGTTGACAGTGTCTGCAGGTTGTTCATGCCTTTCCTGCCACTGCTGCTGCCACACACACACGTATTACACACGTCCAGCCGCTCCTTCCTGGCCTCTCGGGTATCATGAATTTTACAGCAATGGCTCTCGGTGTTACTTTTTTTATCGTATTAATTCGATGTGAACACGACAACCCAGATCATTTGAGGCAGAAAAAGAGACAGACTTCGAATATCAAGTTCACAGTTCTCTTTCTGTCAGCTTTTTCAGTTTAGCTGCTCTTTATCAACTCTTAACGGATGCCTTTGACAACTGCGTGCATTCCAGCGTTCGCAAGCAAGGGCTAATATGGTTGTCTCATCTTCTGTAAATAGGGCCTGTCAACTCGTGAATAAAACAAACCCAAATGTCCCCTTTGAATGCATTGGTTCCTTATTTATTTTTAAATTAGTGCAGTACAGGAGGAAGCCACCTAAACTTTCCCCTTCCCTTTCGGTTCCCCTCAGCCCACTTGCACTGACGCGATATGCAAAAGATAAGAACTGGACATGCACCGTTTGTATAAGCGCCTGGCAAACAAACCAAAAACACGCAGAATATCATCTGCGAGTCATTTTAATGGTGCCAAATTGAATTTGACGTAATAGTGATGGGCACAAACTGAAAAAAACTCCAGCGACCACTTCATTCAAGGCCTTTTGGGAATTCTGGGATTGGAAGCTTGGCGGCTTTGACTCTCTACCCCCCCAATTGGCTGTTTGTCATTCCTCCCTATAAAGTTTTCTCTGGAGCTTGAAACTTCATTTTTGCACTGGCCTCACTCTCCACCTTACACTTGAAAGTTTGAGAACTAAGTGGACCCTCCAGCGGAAGAGGACGTGGCCTTCGACAGGTTCACAAGGGGAACGGTTTCTGTTCATTTCTCCTCTTCTTTTTACGAGAGATTTTAGTTTGTTGGAAAATGCCTTGTGGATCATTTAAAACCAGTGATGTGTGCAATTAATTTATACTTTGTTAAAAGTTTTCTTGGAGATTATTCTCTTCTTTCAGTAATGTTGGTAACCCGTGATCTGTTATTGTGGAGCAAAAAAAACATGTTTTATAAAAGCCAGTATTAACATCTACGTGTTTGTTTTTTTAAATCACTGTGCGTGAAGAAAAAAAAACAAAAAACTTTTCAAAATGTACACTTTTATTGTCAACAAAAGTACAAAACAAAAGTCAGTATTTACAATACTTTATGGCCTTCTTTTGCGGTTACCCTCTTTGGTTTCACTGCTGACCTGATGGTTCAAAATATGCGAGACGGTTACACTAAACATGAACATTCAAAACACTCGTTTTTGGAGACGAAACAAAAAGTGAAAGCTAAATTTCTTCTAAATGTCCTTGACAAAGTGAGATTATATTTTAAATAAACAGGGTCTCTTTAGTGACTAAGCAGAAGCACAGCTAAACTTGCATTTCTCACACATTATAAATAGCCAAACACAAGCAAGACATTCAAACATATTTACAGCTTCTTCAGACCACGATGAACGGAAAAATGCTTCAACCCATCCTTAAAGACTACAGTGTCGGACATGAACCTGACAAACATTGTAGATACAGAAAATGTGTAAAAACAAAAAAGATGCAGTTTTTGTAGTCCGAGGGAAGTACAAAACCGAAAGGCTATACAGTGAGGTTTCACATTAACATACTGAGGTTTGCCTTCCAATACTGACTCTTTCTGTTAAGGCAGAATAATGGGGCTTTTCTTTCATATTTACTTCCTACCAAAAAAAATAAAGGCTCTGCATGCAAGGTCGCTTCCACCCAGTCTGATACAGAGTGCGGATGTTTGCTTGTTTATACTATATGCAATTCACGTCTATGTCGCTACGTTAAACTCTAGCGGGCCATGTTCTGCTGAGTTCCGAGCCCTACAACTATGACATCATGCAGTGCAATCTGAAGGCCACTGGGTGTAGCAGGATATTTCCCTATGCTATGCTAAATTTCTAAACCCGTTTTCACTACTTAGCCACTTTGAACTAGAGGAAATAACATGAATGTCTCAGGGCAGTGACATAAAGAGGTACCAATAAATAAAACATGAGCAAACAGAGGTGTAACAGCAGTGAAGTCATCGTTCTTCCAGCATCCGACCGCGATCTTAGGACTTTTCGATGAGGGACTGTGCAATATCAATATGTAATTCCAAAATCCATAATTTTTTTTTTTTCCCCCAATAATCCAAATGTTAAGCAGAGTGAATGTACTCCCCTTATTTACACAGGCCTAAAAAGTGTACAGTGTATTTACTTTTTTTTTTTTAACTAGAGGGGAAACAAAACAGCTGTGCCCACCACATCAGCAATGTGCATGAAACAAGAACATTCACTGGGAACACAAAAAGAAAAAGTCAGAATCAATCAAAAGTAAATGCATTCCTCAGTGCAGACTGAATTTACAACACAAGTGGTTTTCTCTATTACACTTTTGTATCGTGGGGGATTTTCTTTTTTTCTTTTTCTTTTTTTAGTAAATAGTTCATTGGGAGTAGGAAATATTCTGGAAACATTCTGTGATGCGTGACGCACACGAGTAGCCTGAAGGAGGCATCGCTGTCCAATCAGATGTCTGGAATTAGATGATTGAAGTGTGTAGTACTGCACATTCAGTGTGACAAGGCCTCTTTCCTGGTTCATACCTGGCACACACAAACAAAAACAATGAATGTGATTAGAAAAAATGAGAAGAAAATAATAGCCTGATATCAAAATACTGAGTTGGCGTGCTCAATATTGCACTTAATTCAAAGCCAAATACAAGTTACTCACCAGCTGGCTGGTACCTTTATTAGCTACTGTAATATACTACAATGTTTACATCACATTGTACTAATGATAGTCTAACACCTCGCTGATGTGCATGATGTGCGTGATTCAGATGAAAGACATGCACAATTGTCTTCTAAAGAAAACATCTGTCGTGACTCACGTGTGACTCTATTTTAACGTCTTTTACTTCAGTGAAAAATGTACCAGTTTTTTCCGAGTTCTCCATTTAGTGGTATAAATGAAAGATTCCTCACATTAAGCCACCAAAATGTGAACACGAGTATCAGAAAGCCTATTTGTGAGAAGTGGAAACTGGCTTACCTTGTATAAGATACTGTGAGTAACGATAACCTGCAATATTTGTGACTAATATTAAAATAATAATAATGATTAGACCTAATTATTTCCATACATTAATGACCATAAAGTGAATTTTCAGCCCTGCCCTGAGCTTTGAAATTGTAAAAGTGCAAGAGAAAATATCCTCACCTTCTTCGTTCTTTTTTGACGGCTCTCTTCTCTTCTCTTTTAGACATCTGCTTTATGATGTGAAGCCTATTTGTGAGAAGTGGAAACTGGCTTACCTTGTATAAGATACTGTGAGTAACGATAACCTGCAATATTTGTGACTAATATTAAAATAATAATAATGATTAGACCTAATTATTTCCATACATTAATGACCATAAAGTGAATTTTCAGCCCTGCCCTGAGCTTTGAAATTGTAAAAGTGCAAGAGAAAATATCCTCACCTTCTTCGTTCTTTTTTGACGGCTCTCTTCTCTTCTCTTTTAGACATCTGCTTTATGATTGTTCTCCTCCAGTTTCTTACTCTCCTCTGAAGTGCCTGTCTCCTTCTCTCCGGTCTTCCAGGTGCCTTGTCTAACAGGACAATTTTACCTTGATTAATCTTTCAGCACATTTCAAACTGGGCCATTTCTGGCTCGCTCGCTTCTCATATCAATCTGAACAAATCATGATGATGTATAACAGCAGGTACTATGACTTCTACTGCAATCATATGTACTTCTTCCGAACAGGTTGTAATTTAAACGTAGGCGATGAAATATACTCTGCTTTTTCATACTCGACTTATTTGTGCGATGTCATGTTGCGTCTTACCTTGTTTTCTTGATATAGAGCCAGTAGATGAGTCCCACCAAAGCAGCGGCTAGAAAGAGACCAACCATGACACCCACAATCACTTTGGCCTGCTCCGCGCCGTCTTCGTTTTTTTCTAAATGCGATGGACAGATAAACACTATGAATTCTTCTAAAGCGTTATGACTCTTGATAGGGAAAGGCAATCCTGGAAAATTAAAAATGATTGACAGAATCCTGCTACTTGAGAAAAATTAAAGCTGGGATTATTTCAAGATGACATTTTTCAGGTACGACAAACTAAAAGAACCAATTAAAACACGTGAAGGCACAAAGTTTGCATGATGTCAGGATGCTCGACACCCTCCGACTCATGATCTTAACTTCTACTTCATTTTAAGTGAGATTCAAGTGAATGAAATCAGATGGTCTTACCTGGTTTGGACTTGTGCTCCTCAAATACTGAAATCAGATATAAAATCAAATTAACTTTGGGTGCAAAATGAAACCAAACTGGCATTTATGACACATTTGGTGAGAAAAAGCCACCACCCAGCTGTGGTTTAGATGCAAAACCAATTCAAATCAGAAGTAAGTATTGTCCAATCAGATTCTAGTAAGGAAGATAGATGACCACAAGCATGCGATAGCGGTCGGAACCAGAGGAGAAGGAAAAGGGACAGCAGTCCAAGCACCCTGACATAGACAAACAAAACCCGAGCCAAAGCCAGAAACTAGAAAGAGAGCGCCTCATGCCCTGTGAGTGAACAACATGACCTGAGAGAGAGCAGCAAGCCCTGTCTTTCCAGTGTTCACACCAGGACACTAAAAATACTAATATAGTAAAAGGCCACTAAATCACCCTACATTTGAATGGTGCATCAGGCAAAACTGTGAAACATGCTAGCTTTACCAATCTCTTCACATGCACATATTAGAGATGTTAGATGTGGCATACTTATCAGGGCTGTCAAACTACTGTTATTTGTGCCATTAAAAACAAGTAAAATGAGACAAAAAGAGCAAAATATACATCAGTAATCCTAATTCTATCATCCTTACAATACTATACAGTATGTTTCACCTATTTCTGTTGATCAAATAAACAGGCAATCTCAGTGTTTGAGTCCGATCTCAAACCACTTGTTATTAACCATGTCAAATATGTAGGCTAATGGTTCTTTTTAATTTAAATATGTTCTTGACAGCCCTATAATATGAGCCTTTTTAAAGGGGGCGATTGAGTGGTTAGTAAGCTAAGCGGTCCTCACAGCTGGAAACCCCTTCAGCGCGTTCAGTGAGTTACTTACGAGAAAACACACTGATGTTCCTCGAGTCGAAGCCGAGTTTATTGGTCACGTGGCAGCTGACTGTGAGGTTCTTGCTGGGCACTACGGTCAGTTTGTATGTGGCCTTCCCGTTGAAATATGATGTTTCATCCTGCAGGACAACAATTCCAGTTATTTTTTTAATGACTTTTTATTACCAGAATATTAACTTTTTTAACCGTTTTAATATTATATATATGCAAAAATACAAACAAGCAAGAGTCAGCAAGAACTAAGTTGGTTTGGTTGGACCTCTTTGCTTAATGCGCTATTTAATACACCTCACCACTAGAGTGCGCTAATGATCCTCAGCTCATTTATTATCATGTAGTCGGCACCACACCCAGCGCTAATGGAAAGTCTCACAGAAAACACACACACACACCCTCAGGGTCGTGAATCACGAGTGCAATGCGTGTCTGTAATCACAGCCATTAAATGGGTCTCCATCACAAACACTCTTCAATATCCATGTCATTAAAGCAGACAGTGAGCACTGAACCCCTCACAGAGCGCAGTGCGAGTTAGCTACTGATACCAGTGCTGCGATCCACAGGATCACACAGCAAAATATACCAGCAATAAGCAGCCATTAAGACACAATTAAGTCCAAATTAATAGTATATATAGTACATAATGTATTTCATGATATTCATATTATAAACAAGTTTTCTGTTAATGAAAGAAGCCTCAGATTATGCCCACCAAGACTGCATTTATTTGATACAAAAAATACAGTAAAAGCAGTAATATAGTGAAATAGTATAACACTTTGAAATAACTGTCTTCTATTTTTATTTAAAAATGTAATTTATTCCTATAATGGCAAAGCTGAATTTTCAGCAGCCATTATCCATGTTTTCACAGTAAAACATAATACCTACATATTATTCAAAATTTACAGCACTAGGAAGACTAGATCGCCTGTCTTGGATTTTACACAAGGCAAAGTAGGCTACAGTACAGGTTGTGACTTTACAACCCTGCTGGAAGCAGACCAACACAAAACACCAAATCTAAACTCATTTATTTGAAATGCATCCACCGAGACTGGCCAGACACTGAGAAGCAGAAATAGCTAACTGTGTGAGTGTTTGCATTGCGGGGAGCCTGTGGTACTATGACACTGAAAGAGAAAGACAAGTGCCGGTCAGACTCCTCTGGATCAAAACCCAAACACTGTGACTCATGGGACACACACACTATGTCTGGGATATCTGGGGTAACAAACACAGGCTAGTTTTCGGTGTCCTGCTTTGGCATCCCTGTCCTCATTGTCCTGTTTTCCTGTCCTGGCTGTAGTCTCATAATAAGTGGAAACAGGGAGGCAAACTCAAGGATAGTCATCACCTCCCCTCAGATGTGTTTGGGAGGGTGGCAAGACGTGCCTTTGTGGAAATTTGCTTCTTGTCATAAAAAATCCAGAAACAAAGGCAAAGTCGCTCGCAACAAAATACCAGAGCCGTCAGTCTGTGGAACGCGGGACGAATAATAATTCTTTGTGTGTGATTCCAGACATTTCTGTCCCAGGACAACTGTTCCCTTTTCAACATAAATTGAAAGTTGGCTCTTCCCTTCTGGGTGCTGACAACCTGCGACTTCAAACACCTGTGCACCTTTCATCTTGTCTAGACCAGAACTGAGTGAAATATCTGGGCATCTTTCCTTCTCACATAAAAAAGTACAAGATGCAAGGTTCTTTTGGGAGAACAGTAATGTCTAAAACATGTCGAACAATTCAGATCAGATTCAGATCTATATTTAGTCTGACAGTGGTAGTGACTCACGTTAGTTCCATTGACACTCCACTGCACGTCAGGTTTAGGTGAACCTTCTGCCTCACACGTCAAGATTTTATGTTTGCCATCGTTGCTGCGACGCTTTGTTAGACTCATAATATTGGGACCACCTGGAGATAATAAATTTATGTTTTCATACAGTATATATATATATATATATATATATATATATATATAT